TCATTATCCGATGGCCGCTGTGGTATTCCTGGCTGGCACGATATGACTAGGCCTCGCTCAGAACAGGATGCCGCAGGGGCCGAGTCTGCCTGGGCACGGAGAGTCCGACGCCGCCAGACGTCTCGCCCTGGAAGTTTCGCCCCGGGGCCGAGTTAGCGGAGCATCTCGAGACGTGGCGCTAGTCGTGCGCACCTTTGCCCTGGGTCACTGGGTGTTTGTTTGGAGACATCTCATGAGAGCCTCCTCAGCTCGCTCAGATGCGCTGGAACGACGACGAGACGGCTGGACGGAGCCAGGGGTAGTAGTGCTTAACGAAGCTAGCACGGTGTGGGTCGCAGTCCGCGCGAGGCTCTGGAAGCGCTCGCTCGAGCAAGTGCGCCTGGCCAGCTCCGAGGAAGAGTGTGGCCTGCAGCTTGCCCGGGGCGCGCGCTGGCAGGAGCTCCCCGCGCAGGCTCGCACCAGCCGAGCCAGTGCCGTGGACGTTCAACGAGAAGGTCCGCCACCCGATCGCGCCTGGGACGAAGCGATCGGGTCCGAGCTGGATTCGGCCCCGAGGGTTCCTGGGGTCCGGTTCCCCAGGTCGCCCCCGGGGAGGGGCCGGAGGTCTCCGGGTCGCCGACGGTTCCGGGCCCTGCTGGGCCCTCGGGCCGCCCGGGATTTAGTTCGGACTTGGTGGCGGCCGCAGCGGGATCAGCCGCGGGAGCTCTCCTTCCGAGCTATCCGAGCCTCTCGAGCCCGAGACCTCTGGCAGGTCCACCCCGACGGGAGCCAGGCGAGAAGAGGAAGTGTCCACTAGAGTGTCGCCGCTGCCCTCTCCCGCTCCACCTCAGCTCCCCTTTCCGACTCTTCCCCCCTCTGCCTCCTTGCCTCCCTCTGACCCAGAGGCGACGCCGCCCCTGTCGAGGGGGGGCCCGCCGAATCGCCCGTGGAAGCTGATCCAACCTCCCGACGTTCCGGCGCGCATGCGAGCAAGAGGGCAGTCCGCTCTTCCTGAGATCAGGAGGCCCAGGATGGGATAATACTTGGATCCCGACATCTCTTCTCCTCTTCCTTTGGCTCCTGCCTCCTCCCCTTCCGTTCCGGACCCAGCCGTTCGACCGCGAGCCCCGCAGGGCCGTGGCCGAGAGAGTGCAAGCCATCGAGGAACGGCGTCGGCGCAGGTCTCCCGCGTCTCGCGCGATATGCCTCTCTTTTTTCCTGCTTCCGTCTCCGGGGGGGCGGCTCCAAGTCCAGCATCATCAGGGGCAGGGGGGCGACGTCTACGCGGCGGGCCGGGGAGGCGAGGTCGCGTTGGGCAGGCTCGGCCTGGCCGAGAGAGCCAAGTTCGACATTTCTGTTGGGAAGGAATGGAAGACCATGGGATCTTGCGGCGCGGCCGAGGCGGCCTCTCCTTCCCAGGCCTAGGTTGTCCGGGAAAACCAGGTATAATTGTTAGTAGTAGGATGTTGCGCGGGTGGAATCCGACGGGAGGTGCCCTCTCGGAGCTGGGGGCAAAGTCGAGGCGGCACGCGCGCGGCCGCCGCGATCCTGATTCAGTCGCGCTCGCGGCGTGCGCCCCGACGCCGCAGACTTCCATTGCGCTCTTCGTTCATGTCATGATGAGCTTGGGGCTCCTCGGAGATGTGGCCGACGTAAAGAACGCGTTCTGCCAATCGGACCGCGTGTCCGGGGCGAGCTGCGCGCGGAACCCTGCGAGGGAGTTCCCCTCGACCGGGGTCTTTGATCGGGCTTCTCGTCGATGTCTACGGACTCGACGACGCCCCGATGGCCTGGAGACGCACGGTAACAGGCTTCATTAAACGGCGCGGCTTCGTCCATTCGCTCCTGGAGCCCTGCTGGTGGGCGCGTTATCGCGGTGGCCAGATTGCCGGCGCGATCCTGCTCGAGGTGGAAGCGCCGCAGACAAAGACCGCTAGTGGCTTCGCAGCGCCCTCCAGACGAGATTCAAGTTCGGCAAATATCGTGACTGCCACGCAGGCGCGGTGGACTTCGCAGGCAGGAGATTGACGTTCTCGCCCAGCCGTGCCACGATTGACAAGGACAAATACATCCTCGAGGAGATGCGTCCACTGACGATGGCCAAAGGGCGCCTCGCGCGCGCGGGCTCCCTGCTCGACTGGGCGGGGTTTGCAGCGCCGCGCTCCTTGGCGTGCAAGTTTAATTGGGTTGGGCGCGAGTCCCGCCCAGAGGCCGCCGGGGTCGCGTCGGTCCTGGCAAGCCGCCTGAGAGCGCCGACCACGGGTGATGTGATCTG